GACTCTTTCCTGTACATTCTCTAGTTTTTCAATGATCTTTTAAAAAATATGATCATCAGAACTGGACACAGTATATGTCTCACCAATACAATATACAGAAGTCATGCACCTCCCTACCTACCTATGCCGTTTATACATCCAAAAGATTGCATTACCTTTTTTTGGCTGCAGTATCTCCTTTTCAGGGTCACTGCTTTCTAGGATATTGTTCCCTATTCAGTAGGTATGACTTGCCTTCCTTATTCCCAAATATGCAACTTTGCATATGGCTATATTAAAAACACATTTTGTTTAAATGGGTCCAACTTACCAGTGATTTAGATATCTGTGTATGACTTCCCTCCCTTCATTATTTACCATTCTGACAATTTTTATGTCATCCAAAAATTTTTATTCAATGGTGACTGGATATTTACTTCCATGTCACTGATAAAAACACCAAGCCTTGTACCATCCCATGCAGAACCCCACAGAAAACATCCTATTAGAAGATCATTCCTTACTGATGACTTTTTGAGCTAAATTAGCTCGCTCTGAACCTATTTAACATGAGAATGATTTTTGTATGAAGTAATTTTTTTTTAATTTGAATGTTTTATGGTACTAAGTCAAATGCCTTACAAAAATCTAAGTATATTATTTCTATGCAGCTGCTTTTATGAAGTGTATAAATCTATTCTAAGAATGAGGATGATATTTTGTTTGACAAGGCTAGTTTTCCAGAAAACCATGCTGACTGACATTTGTTTCCTTTAATTCTTTACTAAAAGATTCCTTTGTCATCTTTTCCATTATTTTGGCCAGGACTGATGTCAGAATAAGCAGACTGTAGTTACCCATTTATCCATCTTGCCTTTTTTGAATTCTGGAACAATGTTAACACTCTTTGAGACTTTTAGAATTTCTCTAGTGTTCCAATATTTATTAAAAATTAACATGAGCAGACAACATCTCTCCTCAACCAACTCCTTTAGTACACATTGAAACTCTGAAATCCAGGACTCTCTGGTGCAGCAACATCCGTGGTCCGGATGTTGCTAGACCAGGGAGCCTCAGAGCCCAGGAGCACAAACCAGCTGGGAGCGCCATCTCTCAGGAGCCCTGGCCAGCAGGGCAGCAGCGGCACCGGCAAGTCTCATCCCCGGGGAGCCCTGGCCAGGCAAGGCAGCAGTGGGGCTGCCAGCGACAAAAGCAGGGCAGCTGGCAAGCCCTGTTCCTGGGGATCCCGGTGGAGCGTGACAAAGGCGGGGCAACCAGCAAGCCCAGCTCCAGGGATCCCTGGCAGAGTGCAACAGAAGTGGGGCCGGCATGCTCCATCTCCGGGGCATGGCAGAAGCAGGGAAGCCAGCAAGCCCCATCCCCGGGGATGGGGAGAAGGGGAGGGGAGAAGCAGGGCCAAGGCAGCTGGGGAGCTCCGTCCCTGGGGAGCCCCAGCAGGCCAGAGCCCAAGTCCAAGCCCTGTAGACTGAAGCCCAATGGCAGTGGGGCCAGAGCGGGGCCAGCTGCAGGGAGTGGGAGTGTCCAGCGGGGGGGGGAAGGGGGGCTGTGGCAGGGGACCTCCCTATATCTGGCAAATTCAGGACTGGTCAGGTCCTGAGGCTGCCCAATAAGGGAGGTCCAACCTGTAGCTTTCTTTACACAGTCAACTTATAGAATTCCCTGCCGGAGAATGTTGTGAAGGCCAAGACCAGAACAGGGATCAAAAAAGAGCTAGATAAATTCATGCAGGATGGGTTCATCAGAGGCTTTTAGCCAGGATGGGCAAAAATGGTGTCCCTAGCCTCCGTTTGTTGGAAGCTGGAAATGGGTAACTGGGGGTGCATCACTTGATCACCTGTTCTGTTTATTCCCTCTGAGGCACCTAGCACTGGCCACTGTCAGAAGACAGGATACTGAGCTAGAAGAACCCTTGGTCTGATCCAGTCTGGCCGTTCTTATGTTATGTTCTTCAGGCATAAGTTACCTGGGCCTGCGTATTAAAAATGTATATCCCTAGTAGATGTGCGACAGCCTTTTTTATTAGAAATGGCTTGGAAAGCACTTTCACATCCTCACTTAACACAAACATCATTCTGGTTCTTTCCAAATACAAACTAATAATTGTTACAGCATCCTCATGACACACTCCACGGTTCCGAAGTTCAAGAATTAAAAATACATTGGAACATTTTGTAGGAAAAAGGAACAATTAGTGTAACTATCCAGTTGGAACATTGCTAAACAAAGTAACAGGTTTTTTCTATTAATTCAACACAATCAAATATACGAGTTTGTAGCCCATACTAACCTGTCCTAATAAACTAGGACACTAATTAAAACAGAAGAAAACATTACATATCATAAGAATGCAAGAGAAAAAACAAATCTTAGAGCTGACGATACTTACTTACTATTATTTGTCAAAAGCTGACACTATACCTGGTGCTGTAAAGACAGAGTATAATGCAAATGATGTTTGTCAAGAGGCTCATGTTATAACTCAGGGTGTGTCTAGACTACATCCATCTTTCGACAGAGCAAAGAGGATCATGTTATAACTCAGGTTGTGTCTAGACTACATCCGTCTTTCGACAGAGGGATGTAAATTAGACATTTTGAAATTGCAAATGAAGCCGGAATTTGAATTTCCCGCGCTTCGTTTGCATAATGGCATCATGGCGCTCTTTCAAAAAAGCACTATTTCGAAAGTAAAACTGCAGTCTAGATGCGGTTCTTTCAAAAATAGAAGCCTTTTTCAAAGATTGGATCTTTGGAAAAAGGCTTCTATTTTCAAAAGAACCACATTTAGACTGCAGTTTTACTTTCGAAATAGCAATTTTTCGAAAGAGCGCCATGATGCCATTATGCAAACGAAGCGCGGGAAATTCAAATTCCGGCTTCATTTGCAATTTCAAAGTGTCTAATTTACATCCCTCTGTCGAAAGATGGATGTAGTCTAGACACACCCTGAGTTATAACATGAGCCTCTTGACAAACATCATTTGCATTATACTCTGTCTTTACAGCACCAGGTATAGTGTCAGCTTTTGACAAATAATAGTAAGTAAGTATCGTACACCCATAGCAAAACAGACTAATGTCACAACGATGCAGAGTTGAGTGTTAGGAGGTTTTTTTTTTTGTCGGGGGGGGAGGGTTTAGGGTGGGGTGATTGGATCTTTGGAAAAAGGCTTCTATTTTCGAAAGAATCTTGTCTAGACTACAGTTTCAATTTCAAAATAGCGCTTTTTCAAAAGAGCGCCACAACGCAATCATGCAAATGAAGCATGGGAAATTTAAATCCTAGCTTCATTTGCAATTTCAAAGTGCCTAATTTACACCCTTCTCATGAAAGAGGGATATGCACACCCTATGATTCCAGCACATTGTCCTTTCCTGTGTACCCCAGTCATGCTCTGGAGTGACAGCCACATTCAGGGATAATCAAACTGAACAAACCATAGAATTTGACCTATCGGCAACCTCACGAGGAGTCCCGTAGCACCATAAAGACTAAGAGAGTTATTTGGACATGAGCTTTTGTGCATCTGACAAAGTTCGTTTTACCCATTAAGCTTATGCCCAAAATAAATCTGTTAATCTTGGTGCTACAGGACTCATTAATTTTTATAAATTCTGGGTTATCTGCTCAGGATTATTATTTGCAGAAGATGATTTTAGGATAGGCCTGGGCAAAATATAGCCCACAGGCCCGATCCGGCCCTCCAAGCCACCGGATCCGGAGTCCGGAGGAGGTGGGAAGATTCAGATGCTGCTCCCGCCCCCAGCACAATCCCATTGGCCAGTTTCTGGACAGACACTGGCCAATAGGCGCTCACTCACTCAAGCACATGGCCGAGCAGGTAGAAACATTTTAAGCTCCCTAAGCCTTTAGCTCTGCAGGTAGGCAGGTAAGTATCCTGGCAAGAACTTGCCTCTGGCACCTCAGCCTCCCTTCCGCAACCCTCTGTCCCACACTCCTGTCCTGATACTCCACATGCATCCATACCTCCTCCCACATCCAGCACCCCATCTCCTGCCCGAGGTCACAATCCCCTCCTACGCTAGGTCACATCCCAAACTCCTGTACCCCAGTTCCTTGCCCTAGGTCACAACTACCTTCTTTTCCCAAACTCTCTCCCAGACCCCATTCTCCCTCCTGTACCCCAATCCTTTACCCCAAGCTCCCTTCTGCACCCAACTCCATCCCAGACCCTGCACATCCTCCATTAATACCATGGAAGAGTGCAGCCCTCAACCACTTTCCAAAATCTTGGAAGTGGCACCTCCATCAAAAATTATTGCTCACTTCTGTTTTCGGAGGAATTTTTACAGTCTTTTCAGAGACCTTGGAAAATAGACGGGTTATTGAGGAGAAAGAGTAAAGACTGGTAACAAGGATTTGATTAAAACCAAATAGCTAGACAGGTTGCAGGTACATATTTTGGTTAAAAAAAAAGTTTAGATTGGAAAAAGAAAAGAACACTTATGTTGTGACAGCAAGAATGGAGCTATAAAACAGGAATGCTGACAGGTTCTGAATTACAACAAAACTGCTAACATTTTCTGCTAGAAAATACTCATCTCTGTTGTTCTCATTTTTTGAAAATGTGTGTTTTTATTGATGTGGCACTGGATTTCCAGATTCTCTCTCTCACACACAATCTTCTAATGCACACGGTAAGCAAAAGGAGCACCAGTCTTTTCTGAAGGCTCTAGAATTTTAAACTTTCAGAACAATTACATACAGCTATGGGGTAAAAAAGTAACTTTCAAAGGATCAATTACAGCACAACATTGCCAGGGCAAAACATGCAAAAAAAATCTCTTACACTCTAATTTCTAGAATGCCAAAGTTCTTGAATTGCTCTCTTAAAATTACACCAATAATTAGAACTATACTAATCACTGGTCTGCATGCTATGGTGTACAAGCCAAATGTAAAAGATCTTTTATAACTTAGATAGTTTTTCCTCAATGTTTTTGAAACAGTGAAATAAAAAGGAAACAAAGAGTCTTACCATTTTGATGCCAGTGGAAAATGTGACTGGTTTGACTGGTCTGGGTTTTTCCAGCTGCATTTCTAGCTGTGTAGCTCTGTCTTTATGTTGAGCTAAGAGCAGAGAGGCCGGGAGATGGGAACTTTCCTGTAAACATGTTCAAAACACAGACTGAAATATTCAAAAGAAATTAATGCTGCACATTCTTCAAAATTACAAATTGTGTCTGAAAAGGCCATCGCCAGCAGAAAGAGGTTACGCTAAATATTCTCTATATGAGAAACAGTTTACAGCAAACGATCACTTTCAGTAATAAGAAAAACCTGCAGCAGCCTCATAAATCAGAGTAATCTGCAAACAAGCATTTTTATAGAATCCACATTAAAGACAATAACAGGGTCCTTATTGCAACTGGCCAATGCAACCATATTTATTAAAATAAGAAAAAAATTAGAACTTAATCACAGAAGGAGTAGTACAAAGTAGTATAACTTGGATCAGATGTTTATCTAAGACACATTCTTTCTACAAATGAATTCAGACCAGTTTGAAATTGTTTCCCATTAGATTTCACCTGAGGCCGTTTGGAAATGATCCTTGTTCTGCCTTGCACAATGGCACTATTGTAAGTGCAACCAACAGCATATTTATTTTCTCCTTTACCAACTTATTTTTAGGGAAGCCAGCCAATTTTTAAAAAAAATATATAAAAGTAATAAAATAAATAGTTAAACTTGCTTAACTACTTAAAATCTTACATTTGGGTCACAGCAAAAAGACTGTTAACATGTATATACATACCACATTCCAAGGAGAGGTAGACAAATTATTAGCTAAATAATTCTGTGTTAAACTAGTCTGATGATCTCCATGAACCCTAAAACCCTCTAACTTCTCTCTACCATGGAAGCAGGCAAGGTAGGGGACGGGGGGAATCAGACCCGGTGATTGTCAGACTCCTTCAGTGCAGCACTGAATCTGCAAAGCACTCAAGACAGCGTATACACGTCTGCTCTGGGGAACCAGGTAATACTGCTTTGTGATGCAAAATTTGCTACTAACTTAAAAAACAACTGAACCCTCAAAGTCCAGATTGTGACTGTAATTATTTTATTTTAAAACTTTACAATAGAAATGTGACTATCACTGGGAGTTAGGTGCCTAGATTCCTTTGGACAACTAAAGCAGGGGTGGCCAACCCGAGGCTCCTGACGGAACTGGGACAGAACCCGGAACCGCTCAGGTTAGCCGCTCTCACAGCCGGGCCGCTGCGAGCCACATGAGTGCTCACAGCCTGTACTGTTCTGCTCACAGCCCCCAGCGCAATACGTCATATCCTGCACGTGCAGGCCAGTGTTCCAGGCTGCACATGCTAGCAGCCGGCTGCTGAGCGCAGGCAGCGGCTTCGGGACCCGAGCGTAAGGTTGCGGGGGGAGGGAGAGATGCCTGGCTCTGGAAAAGGGGAGGGGAGCATGGCATCCCAGATGCGGCGCAGCGGCTCTAGCTCCAGGACCCGAGCATAAGGTTGGGGAGAGGGGGATTGGGGTGCGCATGGCGTCCCAGCCAGCTCATGCTCAAAGCCGGCCACTCAGCACATGTGCCCCAGCGCCTGGAGGGAGACACGCGGCTGTAGCGCTAGCAGCAGCTCCGGGATCTGAGAATTAGGTTAGAGAGGGAGGAGGGGGACTGGGTTCGAGGGTGTGCCTGGCTTTGGGGAAGAGGAGGGGGACTGGGTTAGAGCAGGCTGCTTTTCCCCTCCCCTAAACAGCTGGTGCACTTCCTGAAATACCCGGTCTGTCGCTCCGCCAGGGACTTCCTTCCCCCTGCTGCCTGCCTGGGTGTGCGCACGCGCGCTTGTGTGCGTGGAGTTGTCCCAGGACCACGTGCCACCTCCAACTTCTCAGGAAGCATGCAACTGTCATGGGGTATGTCTACACTACCCTCCTAGTTCGAACTAGGAGGGTAGTGTAGACATACCCACAGAGAGTTACTCCATAGGATTTTATTGTAGCACTGTAGTCCTTTGTTTTGTTTTGTGACAGAATCAAACCCTTTATACCTAATCCCAACCCCTTCTTAGCCTCCATGGGAAATATAGATATTTAATAATTGTGGCTGATACACCAATATATTTAAACTTTGAACTTCTGATCTTTTCTAATGTCACAAGTAAAATAACCAACGTGTCCCTTTTCTCCTCTCCTTCTCCTGTTGCTTTGCTATTAAGGCTCACAGGACTTTTTACTGTTTGAAGCTGAGACGTATGGACATGTAAAGAAAAGATCAAAGTATACTCCTGATTAATAAATCTCAGTAAAAATTACTGCACAAATGCTGGTAAAAAAACCCCCCAGACTTCATTCAAGAAGGTCCCCTCCCCTGGCCAGACCCACCACCACCACCACAAGTACCCTGCCCCAGCACCCAGTCCACTGCCCCCACCAGCACAGTTGGGGCCACGTTAGTGAAGTTTGGGGGGTTTTGGAGGGGTTTTTTTTTGCATTTCAGTTGTGTGGCCCCGACTGACTTTTCTGTGGGTCAGTGACCCCACCCCGATTCAAAACAGGTTCCCCGCGCCTCTCATAATTAAAGACAACACTGAAACATGTTGTGTTTGACGTAATATTTTATTTTAAAATGAAGCCTGGCCAATTGGGGCCAAGCCCCCATCTGGCCACAGCATCATAACACTCCTGCATACACACACCCAGACTCAAAACCTGACCCTATCATACACTGGAACCCCCTGTCCTAAGCCTCTCACATCCCCAAACTCCTGCACCTCCACATCCCCAGTCTTCTGCCACAACAATCCTGCACCATCCACACACTGCACATGTGTCCTGAGCCCATCCTACTCCCAGCCTCCCTCTGCCCCATCCTCCTGCCCCCTCACACCCCCAAGCCTGCGGCTTGCTCAGCACCCCAACCCTCCACCTGACCCCAACACTCTCCAGCCTGCAACCCCCTCCCTGAGCCAGCATCCTCTTCTCTACTTCCTCCTGCACCCAAATTCCCTCCCAGAGCTTGCACCTCTCACCCCTTCCCAGTGCTTTTTTTGTAAGCCACAACAGCAGTGGAGACTGTGTGAAGAGCCGGAGAAAAGTTAAACAAAAACAATAAAAAAAGCAACTGTGGGAAAGTGTACCAGCACCTATTTTCCCCCAGTGCGCCATTCCCCATGTCTTCGTGGCCTTGCCTTTTTTTTTTGGGGGGGGGGGGGGGGGGGCAACACGCTCTTCATGCTGTCTCCACTGCTATTGTGGCTCTTCATCTGGAACAGGTTGGCCACCCCGAACTAAAGTGACAGAGAACCATCAAACTGTGCCTATACTTCTTATCTACCATAAGACTGATGCTCACTTTTCATTCCTTCTATTGTTGGTTATTCTCTCTCTCTCTCTCTGATTTTATCTTAAAATAGATCGTAGGGGTTTCAGGACAGAGATTGTATCTCACAATGGGAGCCTGATTGAGGCTGACAGATAAAACAAATAATAGAGGAACAGAACAGTCCTGCAAATATCCAGGCACAGGCACAGCATAAGGACTGCTCCCCTTCTAGATTACATGCAACTGAAAAGAGAATTTGGACCATCCATTTGCTATGCTAGGGCCTGAATCCTTGAGCACCTACACATCATCCAACACACTCACAGTCTCAGTGTGTACTACCAGTGCTGCTATTATAGAGCAATAATTGAGAAGACCCTATCAAATGCTATATTTGTTTGAAAATTTCACATTTAATGTGAGCTATACAGGGAGGAGGTCTCCCTAGGCTTTTTGTCCTCCACCCATTTATCAAATGTTGGTTGTTTGTCTCATGCGACAACATGCTAACTCCTCAGCAGTTTCTACATTAGCCTAGGGATACAGTTCTGGAAAATCAGCACAGTGCCAGCAAACCACAGTGCTTTTGATTCACTGTTTGTCGTATCTGTTAAGCCCCACTGCCCTTTTAGTTAACTATCACTGCATAGCAGTAAAGAAATAGATATTCTAGATCAGATTCTCTTAACATTTACATACACAGGTGTCTTTTCACCTGTGAAAAACACACTGAAATCAACACAGCCATTCACATCAGGACTGTTAACCACGTTCATAAGTATCAACAGGATCAGAACCCACAGCTTGGAAAAAAAGGAGGAAGGGGAGAAGACTAAGGTGGCTTTAAGCTACCCTGGCATCTTCCTAGGTCTGGGAGTAGGAGATACTCATGTGCCTGGAAACACATACACACACATAATTAAGAACTATGAGGGGCTAAGTCAGAGAAGCCTGTCCCTACCTGCCTACAGGCAGCATCACAGCATGATGTACTTTATCCTTGCCCAGACATGCTGTCCCAGTCCCACTCAGCCTCTGGAAGATCCCCAACATAAAAGGGGCTGGAGCAAGGTTGTAATGCATGGGGAATTAATAACGTCTCTAGCACTATTAGTATACTACATGTTAATATTATACTTAAAAGACAAGTTCACACATTTTGCTCAGAATCAAGATCTGAAAGTTTGGAAAGGAAGAATTGCTCAGAAAAAACAATGAAGAGAATAAAGATTTAAATTACAAATGGCATTTTAGTGAAAAGTGGTAGCCATAGGGATATGAAATACTGAAATCTGTCTAACCCCGTATTGGGAGATGGTAGCATGGTACAACAGATAGGACAATGGACTAGGATTTGAATTCTAATCTTGGCTTGGCCATGGCCCTGCTCTTTGACTTTGGGACAATCCACTTCAGTGACTTTGTTTCCCCTCTTACCTTGTTTCTGACTGGTTTATGTAAATGGTAAACTCTTTGGGGCAAAACAATCTCTTACTATATTTATATAGCACCTAGCACAATGGCTTGAAGCCTCTAACTGCTACTATAATCCAAACAACCACCACAAATTGTGAAGCAGTCTTCAAATTTGCATTGAAGTTTGAACATTAAGGGCAAAATTCTTCTCTTGCTGCACGAGACCTCCTAATTCTACTATCTGTGTGCACAAGTTCTCTCTGTGACTAAAAATTCAGTAAAAGATTGGACAGCAGGATATTGGAATTGACATCTCATGCACATCTGATGGAAATATTTGCCCTACGTTTTTTTCTTATTGTTAAATCAATACTAAAGCAGGTTGGAGAAAGCACTGAAAGGTGTATATATTCAACTATTCTCTGTGCAACAATTCCTGAACATAGAGGGTGCATTAAGGAGAGACAAATTTAAAATGTATGCGTGAAATCCTAACCTCTGTAGAGTTCATGTGAGTTTTACCATTGACTTCAGCAAAGCCAGGATTTCATGCCATATGTTGTTGAAATGCATGCATCTTTATCTATAGTTCTAATACTAGATTTTTAAATCCATTTTGACAATTCTTTCACTTTCTTTATGTCTTGTTTGTCTTTTCCATTTCTATCAATGAAAAAAATAACATTTGTTTGGCTTTAGTTAGCTTTGCAGCATAAGCAATATTTAGATTTCAGGTACTGCAGTGGGATGTTGTTTAAAAATAGCTGTATGCAGAGAAATGTTAGGAATTATTGCAGAAACTCATTTCTGCTGGTTTTTACGAAAAGCACAATTTTACAAAACTAAGTTTTGAGCCAAATTCGATAGTCCCCTTTAAAAACTAGACACGCTTTAAAGTTTTCTAATGTTCTCCCTCTGCCTTTAACATTACCTTTCTGTTTTAAAATTTTTAGTTATGTTTTAATAGCAATGCATATGCAATCAGAGTTAAATTACCTATTTTGGTCATGTTATAAAGATTATTTATAACTGCTCTTTTCGCAAACCATCTGGCAAACTGTATTTCCAGTAAAATCGACTGCTGGGTAAGAAAACAGTGTTGGCCCCTACTAAATTAAAAGTGTACTTTAAAGCAGGATTGAACACACTTTAAGTCAGAAACCAGTTCAAAACCCTTTTTCCAAGCCATTAAGGAAATATACTGAGTGTACAGTGGAGTTATTAATTGGCCTGCTAGGCAGACTATGCCTAACTAAGCAGATCATGAGCATTAGTACTTTAAAAGTTATAAGACTGTGCTGGATATAAGGTCTCACATTGTTGGGGTATTTCCCTTTCTGGTGAGATACATCCATAGGAGTAAAATAAGGGGCCTTTCTGAAACACATCTATGCTGATGGCTAAGAAAAATGGAACATCATCTCCTTTTAAAGGATCCAATAAAAGGCTGACACAAATCTTGGCCCTGGGCAAGGCCCTTAGCGCAGTCTCTAAAACTGTACCACGAACTCCTAATTCACCTAATGCCAACCTCTTTCCATTTTGATGAGTCTCCCATTGGGAAAAAGAAGAACTCTACATTCTCAGGGAGAGAGGGAGGAAGATACATCTTCATAAACAACCAGCAATAAAATGCAAGAGAACTGGATTAATGGAACTTTAATGTGAGAACCAAACCAACCAAAGCAAAGAAATTCTGAATTAAGGCTGAGGCAGCATCCTTAAGCTACCATACTGGCATAACAATAGGGTTCTTAATATTTATTTTCTTGCTTTTCTGGTTTTTCTCTGCCCATATTTTTATTTATAAAATGCACGTGCATACATACACATGCACACAATTCAAGACTCCCTAGTACAGCATATATGTAACAGTATGTTGAATGGTAAACCCAGATTAGATCACACATATACAGTGTTCATAGTCTACCCTGTGCTCCCTAGATCACCATTGGATTTGGCTGACAAAGAATGATAGATTAAGAGGAAATCTAGAAGCAGTCCCAGAAAGCATGAAGTTTTAAAATAGCTGACTACCAAAGATTTCCAAGAACATACTATATCTATAGTACCAGAAAGCATGTCACTTTTTGAAGTTTTAAAATAGCCGACTACCAAAGATTTCCAAGAACATACTATATCTAAATTATAAAGGCTAAGCTTTCTCTTCAAGAGAGGCAAATGTACACACCAAGAAAATGTTTATAATAAAACCTCCTTTTCCTACTAACGTGGTCAATACGCCTCCTATTGTTTGCTAATACTTCAGTGTGCAAAACAGAAATTCTGATCCTTTACACTAGTTTCTTACAGAGGTAGGTAAAGGGAAGCAGTCAGTTACTAAATTTAATGAATGGGCTAGACAGACTCATTGTGATACCCTTTCTGAAATACCAGTACCTGTCACAATGAAGTACAATGTCGTATACAAACTGTTTAAAACAGGTTTGTTAGAGACCAAAAAATGGAATAACTTAAAGAAAGAAGCAGCAGAAAACATACCAAAAACACCTTCTTATTCAGTAATCTCCTGCATTTTGCAGAATTATTTCCACCATTATTCCCGCTAGTGTCTTACTAGATCTATTCTCAAAATTTTTGCAGAATGAAATAAATGAAAATATGAAATGTACAAAACTGATATTTTGTATCATCTGTATAAAACTAGTTCAAGTCCATGTCTGAAGTCCTAAAAATAATTTAAATTAGAGCTCAAAATCTATAGTTCTGTTTTGATACCCACCAGTTCATCCAGAAGTGCCTGTTTATTTTTCCTTTTTATAATTTGTTGCATTTGTTCCTCTTTCTGTATGAACAGTCGCCGTTGTTTGTTTTCCTGTCGTTCCACCTCTAAAGCTTCCTCCAGCTCCTCTTGCTCCCGAGTCTAAAACAGGCATATTAAAAATTTACTATTGGAAAACCCTCTACATTTGGCAGATAAATTTCTGCCACGAGGCCCTTCCCCCACATAAAGGGTGTTATCCTAATGTCTTTGGCAGGGATCTAGAGACAGGCACTGAAAATTATTAAAGAACTAGATAAAGGCAAAAACATTGTATGAAAATATAACAAAAATCTTGTAGTGCTCTAATTTACAAAATGAAACAAATAAGAGGGTATAGGCTAGGGACACACAGAATAGGAAAGGTGAATTTGCTGCACCTATTCACCTACTCTGACAATACACAAGCCAGGGTATTCAACTAAATGGAAGGCAACACATTTAAACTGATCACTCATGTTTAAAAATAAAATGGATAATTAACCTGTGGAATGTACTGCAATGAGACACAATTGAAGCCAAGACCTTAGTAGGAGTTATACCCATAATGAGAATAACCACAGTCACATCAGACAGGAAAGAAACACTTATACTTCAGGAAATAAGCCAGTCACAAAACAATGGGGGTTAGGAAGAGTGACCTTCGTGGGTAAGTTATGTCATAGTGTGATCCCGTATGTGGTTTCATGCATTTTCCTAGAAAATAAGAATGCCATACCAATCAGACCAGTGGTCCTTCTAGCCTATTATCCTGTCTTCCAATAGTAGCCAGTGCCAGATGATTCAGAGGCAGGGAACAGAAGAGAGCAATGTATCGAATGATCCATCCCATGGTCCAGTCTCAGTTTCTAGCACTGAGAGGTTTACAGATACCCAGAGCATGGAGTTGTATCTCTGACCATCTTAGCTAACAGCCGTTGATGGACCCATCCTCCATGAAAAAAATGGTTACCTACCTTTCGTAACTGCACAGTTGCCAGAGATTTTTCCTTAGCAATCAATAGCCACAGGGCCAGCTGTTGCCCCCGCTGGAGTGGCACTCCCATATGGCAATATATTAGGTGCTGCCAGTCCTGTGCCTTCTCTGTTCTTTCTTGCCAGCAACTCCAGCTGTGGGGCAGGAAGGCGGGAAATGGAATGGACATGAGCAACACATCCCAAAGAAAAAGTTACATAAGATAGGTAACAGTTTTTCTTTGCGTGCTTGCTCATGTCAATTCCATTTTAGGTGACTTACGGGCAGTATCCATGGAGGTGGGCTCATAGTTCACAGATTAGCAGCTCATAGTACTGCCCTGCCAAAGCCAGCATTGGCCTGGGCCTGCTGGGACAGCACATTAGTGGGACATAAAGGTCTGGCTGCTCTACAGGCGTCCTTAAAAGGCACATGAGCCAGAAAGCCTGTAGAAGAGGCCTGAGCCCTGGTAAAATGGACAGTGACAACTGTCAGAGGCGGCACCTTCACTTGGTCATAGCAGAAGCAAATGAAGACTGTGATCAAAGAAGAAATTCTTGGAGTGGATCCAGGCCCAACTTTCATCCTGTTGGCCACCACAACATATAATTGTGTCAACTATAAAACAACCTGGTTCTGTCAAGGTAAAAGGTTCAAGCCCTTTGGACATCCAAGACACGAAGACTATGCTTTAATTTATGTGGTTTTGGGAAGACCACCGGTAAGTAGATGTCTTGACTCATATGAAACAGAGATGACATTGGGGAGAAAAGCTAAGTGTGGTGTGATACTGACTTTGTCCTTACAGAAGATTGTGTATCCAAGGCAAGTGCCCAAATCTCGGATACTCAGCAGGACAACGTCACTGCAAGTAGGAATGCGACCTTCCATGAAACGAAGAGGACAAAGCACAAAGGCAGGGACCCATGAGCTGTGATAGCACGAAGGGGACAGGATCCCTGAAGTGCAGGTAGAGATGTTCCAGGCCACTGATGGGCAACCATGAATAGTGACCCTCCATCTCAGAAGGCCACACGATTGCTAGATGCCACTGCTCCAGGCCCTTCAAGAATCTGGCTGTGATATCCTAAGTGAAGGCCAACCTACCCTGTGGTATGAGGATTGGTGACCCAGGTCTGGTTGGTGGACACTTTGTCAGGAAGCTAGGCCTTTTGGCCAGTAGCTGGGTCACAGAGCCAGGGACTGAGGTCACAGCAAAGAAAACTTGCACCTGCAGTCTGGTGACCAAGCATGTTACACCCGTCTATGGTACTGCATCCCAGTGAGCTTGGTCTTTGGTGCCAGAGGCGGAGCTGCCTCGGTCCTCTGGTGGAGCACCTGTGATCGGCTCTGGTCTTTAGCCACCAGAACCTCTTCAGGTACTGAAGCCTCCACTATAGGCTAGAAGCCCTTACCACTGCCTAGGTTTGGAGGGGGTCAAATCCCTTTCTGAGCTTGGGAGTCCAGCCACTGAGGTAACTCCTTGGAGCCCTAAAGCATGCATGCGGACTGACGTAAGTCCTTCACCCATAGGCCCTCAGCCCTTTACTGCCAAAGGGCTTCGTTTCTTTTGCCACTTTCATGGGCACTGGTGAAGAGGAGCAGTGCTGGGCTGATTTTGGTGACAACAGTACACTTCTCAGAGTGTACTCTTCTCAGCCAGTCCACTCAGCATGGGTTCAGACAAACACTAATCTGGTGCAGGATGGAGAGTCCTTGGGTGGATATCCTACTCTTAGTGGGCATGAGGGTGAAATTTTTTTTAAATACCTGGGCTGATTTTGGTGACAACAGTACACTTCTCAGAGTGTACTCTTCTCAGCCAGTCCACTCAGCATGGGGTCAGACAAACACTAATCTGGTGCAGGATGGAGAGTCCTTGGGTGGATATCCTACTCTTAGTGGGCATGAGGGTGAAAGTTTTTATAAATGCAGCACTTGGCTTTTCTGTGGCTCTCTCCCAGACACTAAAGACACTGATGGGCACCAACCTGTTGCATGCCAAATATGACTTGAAGCTAAGGGCCCTAAGGCATGAGGTCTGTTGAAGGTGAGAAGACACTGCTAGCTTTTGCTACACAAGGAAGGTGCCGACTAACCACCATGGACAGCAAGAAGAAACTGAGAGGTGACAGGACCAGTGATGCCTAATATACTGCTGCTTAGGAGCACTATCGCAGGGGCCCCATGGCCAGCCTCAAGGATACACTAACACTAAAATCTCTGACAACTGTGCATGTGGGCATGTACACATCCAAAATACAACTACATGATCAAATACTCCAAGTAGAACTAATCTACCGTAAATTAGCAAATATAACACGCGTCCAAGTATAACATGCGCTCACATATTACCCGCAGTTTTTCTATTGTGTGTAAAAAATATATTAGAATATCTGCAGACGTTGCACTCACATATTACCCACAGTTTTTCTATTGTGTGTAAAAAATATATTAGAATATCTGCAGACGTACATAACCTGCAGAGACTTCTGCCACCTTCATAAAAGAATCTGGTGGTCTTTGATGAGGCTGCCACTTGCCAACTATAAAGATTGAAGATTACAATGTCATGAAGCCCGATAATACTGGGTCTTGTATACTGGCTCCTGATACTCCAGCATATCCGATAATCCGGCACCACATAGGTCCCAAAGGTGCCGGATTATCAGAAGTCTACTGTATCTCTTTCCTAATGATTTCTAACATTTTTAGTTGTTTGATTGCTGCTGCTGCTGCACAATGAACAGCTTCTTTCTGATAACTATGAGCAGGGCTAGACAATCTATGTAATCTCCTTGCCCATGGCAAGGAGATTACATCCCGGAAGAGCCGGGTTCAGGCGATCTGCACATGCGCAGAAGGCCGGACAGTAGGGCTGGCAAGCGGGGCTCACTGTGGCTCGGCAAGCCCTGAGTATGAGCAATGACTAAGATCTCTTTCTTGAGTTGTAACAGCTAATTTAGACCCCTTTGTATAGCTGAAATTGTGTTTTCCAAAGTGTATTACTTTGCCTTTATTGACATTGACACATGTAATTCATTTTCTTGCCCAGTCACCTAGTTTTGGGAATTCCCCTTTAAATCTTTGCAGTCTCCTTTGGAATTAATTATTTTGAATAATTTTGTATCATTTGCAAACTTTGCTACCTCACCATTTAATCCTTTTTTCCAAATAATTTAGTATGATAAATATCTTGAACTGCACTGATCCCAGTACAGATCCTTAGGGGACCCCACTATTATTTCTCTCTTTCCTCTGACACATCTGATATTTGACAGTCAGACAGGAGGTCCTACTAAATGAACTTCTTATCTCATCTCATGTGGCAACTGATGACCTGAATGGTCTTTGATTTCAGAAAATGGAATACAATGCATCACCTTTGCCCTTGCTGTTTTATACACATACATGGAGTTCTCAATTTGTTGGTACTACTCCAGTTCAACACCTTCCCTCACAAATTTCTTTGGTTCTGAGAAGGAAATGGTTCAATTTATTATTTTCAGAGTCCGAATTCTTACTGTGAATGTTGAGGGGAAAACATGCAGAATCAGGCCTTATTCTATCATTTCTACTACTATAATTGCTGAATTGAAACTTTTTTTTTTCTTTAAAGGTATGAGAAATTTATATTTTTAATACTGGAAGAAAAACACTTAAAAACGGTTTGTCTGTAATGTTTTAATTAAAAAAAAAATCCTTGTCAGACCACTTTTGAAAGCATGACTCTGCCTGAATAATATTTAATGAAAACCCTCCTGGAAAGTATGTGTGGCCCACGTAGTGAACATGTGTGCTATAGCCCTTTAAGAAGCAATATCATCATTAGCCCTTAAAAAGATTGTCTTGTTAAAGTACAAAAGTTTTTTTCACTATCACTCGTTTTAAATTTTGCATAAGACAGGCCTTTGTTTTTCCATTCTCTAACTCTCTCCTGGGACCTCCATAATGTCTGTATCTGGATTTTATTCCCCCCTCCTCCTTTGGACAAGAAAGAAATTATTGTCCTGGAATAGGAATGAACCCAGTCTCTTCTGGATATTGTCCAAATACACTGCCAGCATATACATGTTTGGAAGAGCCTGCATTTACTACCTAGTTATATCAGCCCCTCTCTAACCAACATGCACACAAAATTCAGTTGCCTAGATGATCTCCTGATGTAGACAAAGCTTTGATACAGGAGAATATTTGAATATCACATTTTTCTTACTAGGAAGCGTGCCAGTATGCGTGTTAGGTTCTTCCCACACCTCACCCCTTTTCTTTTAAAGACAGCATTTTACTAATATTCCACCTTTAAATAGTTACTTAATTCCTCAACTAATTAATAAGATTTTTAAAAAGAGAGTCAACTAACCAATTTTATCTTGTTTTTCTGAATGACTTCTTTGTTATCCTTCTGATACAGCTCCATTTTCTTTTTGGTGTTCTCCAAATCCACATTGTTGGTCAAGTTAAACACTGTATTGATATTTAAGAAAAGATAAATGAATTTGCAGTATCAGCCTGGTACAGACAACCATAACCAGTAAGTATTACTCTTATTTAATGCTCCTTGTCTTTATCACGTTATTAGCATATGCCTCACAGGATAGGGCAAAAATTCACAGCACACAAAGATCAAATCCCAGTCTTTCAACTCCATAGTAACTTCACTTACTTATATGGAATTATTGCAATATTATACTTGTGTAACAGAGATTAATACCTGATTTTTTGTTTCTTTCATGGGATACTACTAGCACAATCCCTTGAACAGTATCAGTAACCTGGATAAGTTACTTGTCATAGAGGCCACATTTCTGTATGTCTTGAAAGAACTAGTCCATACCTAAACTGTGCTCCTCCTCTCTCCCGAACAGGGATAATTCTTTGGGAGACAGGCAAGGGTGTGGCAGGCTGGGCCAGGTCAGTGTGCCTATGTTTGTCCATCTCATTTACACTCATTCTTTCACCCACACTTTGCATTGGTACGAGGGCAGAAGTGAGCTTTGGGGAGAGTTCTGAGGGGAGCTGTCTCGGCCCACAGAATAGGTGAGGGCAGCAAAAGTGGCAGCACAGTAATGGGAACAAAAGAACAAATTGGCAGATATTATTGGCAGAAGCAAAAATAGGAGACAGACAATGTCAGAGATCCAGTCTGCTGCTGAGTAGCTTTTAGCCTGGAATGATGTGCCATGGAGCTGGAACCAATGAAGTAGCACAAGAATGCTGGCGAGGGTCATGAAGCCATTTAGCTCTCAAATAAAAATAACTTTGAAAATACAGAACACTAGTGTAACCAGTGAATCAGCATTCATTTTCAAAAAGTGTGGCTAATTCTATTGGTCTGTAGGGTTTTTTTTTTTTTTTAAATCTCTAGTTTAGTATCAACAACATTTTCATTTCCTACATTGTTCTCTCCCAAAAGAGATTGGATTTTTCAACATTACATTGCTCTGAAATCATAGAATTAAAAGAAGTGCAGGGAAGAACTTTACCATTTTAGCAACACAACATTTACTATAGCAATGTTTCCTCACCAAACCCTTTTATCCAGCATGCTGGAGGAACAGGGAGTTCACAGTAAAATAAAAATGCCGGTTTACTAAGAGGAAGGGGTTTGGAGTGCAGGGCAGGGTGTGGGAGGAGCTGCAGCGCATGGGAGGGGCTCGAGCACTGCCCTCCCTCCTCCTCCTCCCCCCACAGCTCCCCCTCGC